GGTTGTGGATGCCGGTGCGCGGTAACATCCACCAGCCTCACCGAAGCACTAACGGCCCTTTGCTCCGTGCGACGGGTACGAGGGCTCCTCTGAGGACACCCGAGTGACGGATTTCCCGAATTTGGGGGTGGCCCGTTAAAGACGTTCAGCGGTGGTAGTGAGGAAGTTCGCAGAGGCGTTCGGTTCTGCCCGCTGCAGCGCTCGCCTGAGAAGTCGGTGTTCTGGGAGCGGAAGCTGCGCTGCAGGGTCCCGGGGCTGCCCTTGCAGGCCTTCCGCGGCTGCCCGTCTCCGGTCCCGCTCCCCCTTACAAGGACGCCCTGAGGATCAGCGCCCCCGCGCCAGGGGACTCCGCAGCAGCGTTACGAAGCTCCTGGGAGACAATTACTTGTGTGCACAGGTTTGAGCTTGCCCCCTGCAACATAGGTGACTACCAGAAAAGTTTAGGGTGCCTTGCTACAGGGGCGTTCCTGTCTGTTCTACAGGGTAACTTTCTGCAGAGATGACTCCAGAGACCTTGCCCATGACATCACCTTGGTGGGAATAAATCAGACTTTGCAAAGTAAAGAAATGTAGAACCGCTCCTCTGTTGTTACTGCACTTTCTGATTCCTAAGGGCACCAGGAAATTTCCATCCCCTTCATCCCCATTTGGTCACGGCCAGCTATCATAAATGCATCTGTTAAGCTGTTTTTGTGGACGGCCTGAGCAGAGGCCACAGGGTGGTACCCCGGTCACCGTGCAGCACTTGCCCTGCAGGCTGTGCCTACAGGACTAAAGCTTGGGACCCACATCTTTAGTAAAGCCTCCCTGTAGCCCCGTTTTCCAACCCCCATCTACAAAGCCCCAGTACAGCCTATGCGCAAAGGTTGATCCCTGAGGTCCTGCCATCTCTCCTGATCACTTACTGATATTACAGCTACCTGGTTTTATCCTCCAGAACCTCCCCTTGAATTGCAGGCTCCGAAGAAATGTTGTCAGACATTTTGGCGTGCAGGGTGTGGTACTGGAGCAGAGTTCTGCAGCATGCCTCCACATTGGAGGGAGGTGATCCTGCCTGGAGTGGTGCACGGAGACCTTAGTGATTCCTGCAACAGTTAAGCCAAGTGTAGCCACGCACACTGTGACCTCCAGGCTTGTGTTGTGCCATGTGTATCCCACGGCCATGGGATAAACTCAGCCAGCTCACTTAGGGGAGCTGGTGGGCAGCTCCTACGTTCTGCTGGCAATTATACCACCTCTGTGAGCTTGCCTCTGTCTAAAGGTGCAGCAAGCAGTTACCATGTGAATATCCTTTCTGTTTGACAGTAGAAATGATGAATAGAGTTCTTGTAAGAAAATCCTCTAATAGCTTGAATGACTGCAATGGGCTTGCCCTTCCACAGGCAGGGTCTTCATGGTGTGCCCTCATCAGAGGCCCATTTGCTGCTGCACTACTCATGGTTCGCAGCATCTGAAATGCTCCAAAATAACAGTTCTCTGTTTCTTTATGGTGTTAGCTCTAGTTAATTGCATTTGAAATGGTACTTTGCAGAGTCTGAATGCCTTTCTTACTGGGACCATAATGGACTAGCGTGTTTTCTTTGATAACTTGCCTCAGGAAGAGTGTTCAGCTTGTCTAATTCCCACTCCAAACTAAAGGTGGAGTGTTGTCATCAGGGGGAGGGCTTCCTGCAATGTAGGTGGAGATTAAATCAACTGTAGAAAAAGCGTGATTGAAGATGATGGAAAGCAGCCAGCCATGTTACAGTGGGAATTTCTAGTATAAATTAAATAAAAGTAGATTAGACTGACAGCTCTTTTAGCAGCTTTGTGCCTTTTGGATGTTCGGCCAGCAACACCCGCTTTCTGGTCCTGCTGAGTCAATCAGATGGGAAAATCCATCCAAACAGGACTCCCAGGCCTCTTCCCACAGGACACTCAAACAGTGGCTTCCCTCCTCCCTTCAATCATTGGCCTAACAACATGTAAGGCCATGGGTCTTCACCAGTCTTGAGATCAGGCCTGCCCTGGATTAATGAGGATCAGCTCTCCAGTAATCTTCAAAACACGGCTTTGCTTTTCTTTCTTCAAGACTGTGAATGTCCTTCTCCTGTATTCCAGCCCCACTGAGATGTGTGTTGCTCACAACCTCCCCACTCTGGGACCTGCCGGCAGCCAGACACCGCAAGAAATCTGTTAGCCATGGGAAATGGCAGGGCAAAACAAAGTTCAGCAAGACTATGGGCAGTCCAAGTATTTTACCTGGACGAAACACATACTGTTGGAGGAGAGAGGGAATTACAAGTCCTGTTCTTGCTTGGGTACTCTGGTACTGCAGCTCTTGTTAGTGAGCACTCTGCCCTGTGTGCCTTGCCATGTCTCTCTGCTCCTGGCTAACCTGCTCCCAGACACTTAACATTATCCCAATCTACACCTGCTTGTGATGGCCCAAAATGTGGGAAGTGTGCTCCAAAGGCTTCTTTCTCCCCGAAATACAACTTCACAAAGACTAGAAATGACAACAGTAAGGTTAATTTGACTTGTGTCAGCTAACCAGTTACCATCTCTACAGCTGCCTAGAAGCTCTTTGGTATACAGGTGCCTATTATGATTTTTTTGAGGTGACTGTCTTCCTAATGAAAGACAAAGAATTTTAGCCTCTGGAGTATGCAGCTTTGTGATGGGGAGAGAGACTATAATGAACTACAGAGCCAGTGTCTTGTTTTCCACTTTTTTGTTTTCCAAAAAGTTAGAATTTTAGTTCACTGCTTGCCCTTTAAAAGTGTTTGGTAGGCCTCCCCTGCAAGTCAGGACTGAGATAACATGGATGGTTATATCACGTGCTGCATATCTAAGTAAATAAGAGCAGTTGTTTTCAATGTATGTTTAGCTTTCAACTCCATATTATTTTTTTTTTTTAAGAAGGTCTTGCTTGCATGGAAGCTCATTTATTCTTTCTTCAACAACAGCAGGTAGCTTAATAAAAGTTGTTACTTCTTGTTGTACATCTGGCTTTGCTTTGAGGCTATGAGAACTTGTAGTCAAAATTCTAAATACAATTAGTAGACTAGTACCTGAGAAGCCACTAAATGTGATGTCTGTAGGTTCTGGTGTGATAACATCTCAACTGTATTCAGGTCTGCCTTAGATATTTTAGTCTATGGTGATGAAAGAAATACAGATATTGAGGTTACGCTCTGAAATTAAATTTACAGTGGAGAATGGGGCTTCATATAACAAAACTAGATAATATCCTTTACTGGGAGCTGTGACTGGTATCACCAAAATATTTGAAGGGGGACATCTTTTCTAAGTATGTAATCAAAGTAGGATAAAAGAATAAAATAAAAAAAAAGTACCTGAAATGAATTATACTGGAGAAAAGCTCATTGTCTCTATCTAAAACAACTTCTATGTGTTATTTTGTCTTCTGTAATGAAAAAAATAGATTGCATTTAACCAATCCCGTAATATACTATCTATGTACTTTCCAAGTCTTGCCACACGAGTGCGCTGTTGAATAAAAACCATACCCCATTCCTGTTTAAGTTAGAGGTAGTACTCCATTTCGATGTAACCAGGATGTACCTGCTGGAGCAAAAGCAAACAAACTTTACAAAATACGTAACAGTGATAAAATGATGTGTTTTACTCTGTTCGGTGTTAATAATAGGACCTGTGACCCACATAGCAGAAAAAATACTGTTCAGAATAGAGCTGATAAATTTAACACTTCAGTGAGGCTTATTCTAATTTCTCTCCATACACCTGAATTTGATATACAGTTTTTGTAAAATGTCATGAGACAGATTTACGTCTTTTTTAATCATAGAAAATAATTGCAAATATGGATCTGCATGATCTTCTCTAAGATGGAATGTTACACTAAATGAGCCCTTCTGCCTTCATGTTATCACAAATATGGCAAGAAATTTTGCAATTACGGTGTTATCCACAGTGTCTGAGGTGGTTAGGGAAAAGTGCAAATGTCAAGTGGGTAAAGGTGTACCGTGAGGGAGAAATGTGAGATGTACTTGGTAAAGAATAATCTTCGATATACAGTTCACAAAGGACAGGATGATCTTGTAAAGGAATAGAGACAACTATCAGACATGATCAGTGTCCTCTACCTCTGATATGATTGTTGGATGAGGGAACCTTAGCAGGTCATGGAGGTCAAATTCAGGGATCTAATTCAGGAGTAGTGTGCCTTAACCTGATACTTTGCCTTTACATTTGTTCTCAAACTCA